TCACTTGTCTCTTTGACGAGTTCGTAGCTTGATGCGGCGAATGGCAAAACTCACTGATGATGCCGACTACTATGCCGGTGAAACATTTGAGAATGTATCAGGTCGGATGCTGGGAATCAAGACAACTACTATGGCAGACGACTTCGGACTCGGTGCGTTCTACATAGTCTCCGTGAACAGAAGACTAAGTTGCGACGAGGTCAACCAGCTTCGGTTATATAATTTCTATTGTGCTTCGATTTGATATTTGCTAAAACTGGATCTTGACACTTGCACTTATTTATCATCCAAAAAATTTCGAAGCTACTAAAAAATCTGAAAACCATTATTACCCTGTTCTCCTCGCACAAGTGGAAATTTTCTATTGGTTCCTACTTATTGGTTCTTTAGACCAAACGCACCTACCATCGATGCTTTAATGACTGAATTGTATAGCAACTTTGTTCATAAATTGAGGATCAACACTTTCTTTCCATTGGATCCCTTTTTCTTATATATTCATAATAGCTATGCTTACTTATTGGTGTTAACTTTTTTAGGTTTTTAGTCATCTATTGCATTTGCTACGACCAGAGCGAGCTACAGCCTTTGTTTTTAGTTGGCTTGAGATGCTAGCGCACCGCTGGTTTGTGTCCCGAACTTTGGCTGCGGCACTTTCTGCTCCTCCAGTCTTACGGATCGCCTATCAGGCTGTGTATGCTCAGCTCTTGGCTGACTTGCTTAAGTTTCTCGCCTACTTTTTGCAAAATGCATTGATGCCGAAGCCAATCCAGAGTTTGTACAAAGCTACACTTAGGCTTCTCCTCGTCTTGATCCACGACTTCCCTGAATTTGTTTCAGACTATTATGCTTTGTTCTGTGACATCGTGCCATCTAATTCGATTCAGATGCGTAACATGATTTTATCTGCGCTTCCAAAACGAGGAGTTCCAGTTAGCGACCCTCTACAGGTATCTCTCTTCCTTATGTTGTAATTTAAATTGGTTTATACCAGATACCTAAAGTGGCTTATTTTTTACTAGGCCCCTCCCGTTGATCAACTTTCCCAGCTTGAAGACCCAACAGGTTATTGTATGAACGCTGGGTCTCGTTTGCCAGAATCTATGCTTCGCGAAATAGATAACTATCTGGCTACGCGAACTCCAGTCAAGCTTTTGAGCAAATTGGTAACCATGCTACGACGTGCTCCTGACGATCTGCACCTTTTGCTTCCTTCATCATCCGGCAACATCCAGACTAGCCCACAATCACTAATGGCTTATGCGGCTGCAGCGACTTTTGCCATGGCTACTAGCAAGTCAGCGACTAACTCTAGTCAAGTTGCTGCTCTGTTAACTACTGTCGACTCTAAAGTGGTCAGTCAGTGCCTTATATTCATTACCTTTTTATCTATAATGAATTTATGTTTAGGAATATAACTCAGTCAGATTAGACATTTAGCTTAATGTATGAAAGTACATGATGAAGAGACTCGTAGGTCAATCCCACCAGAAGACGTCTGCCGATTAATGTTGAACTACAACCGTTTGGCATTAATACGTCATTCAGGTGAATGCAGTACACAAGACGGGCAAAGACGGACTAAGCGAACATCGTCAGAGCTGGGATTCATTCTTGTAAAAGCCTCAAGTCAAGAAGACTGATCGGCTTTTTTCTATTCATCTCTCTCTCTCTCTCTATATATATATATATATATATATATAGCTCAAAGTAATTGGAAAAAAAACTTAACATCAGACCCGGGTCATTAAAGCTTAATGAACTAAGGAAACAAAAGAAAAAAAAGAAAAACTGATATTGCATTATTCTGCAGGTGACCCTGGTTAAATTGATGAGATGTTGGTGTGTACATGTGAAATTCATGATACGAAACCACCATTCAGAACCCGTTAGTCTTGGTTATTAGGGTTTAATGACTGAGATTGGCTGAGATTGCGTAGACTGGAATTTTGTTAAATTAGTTGATCGGCAAAATATTTCACAGGATATATTAGTAAGTTTTGACGTGGTATAAATGTACACAAATATTCGAGTTCAAGGAACCATTCAGGCTCTAATTCTCATCCAGAAGGAGCATTAAGAG